ACGTGATCTGTATATTAAAAATGGCGTCGTCTGTCTTTCCACTAACGATCTATGTTCAAACCTCAGTGTCGTCAGCGACTCTTTATTCCTATAAAACAACTTGAAACCATAAGAAAAACAAAAAAACATTTTTAGTTACAAACATTTTCTGCATCTTGGCATTAGACGCAACTACCTGAGTCCTAAAGAAAGGATTTGATTATCATTAATCTGAGGGATTAAAACAGAAAAAAAAGGAAATGAACGTGAAATCTTAGGTTAATCTGAAGATAATGTATGAATAGAAATATAACCTTGAATGAAAGAAAGTTAATATGGATGGTGGACATGTTCATAAGGATTAATTAAGTAAATGGATATTCAGAGGAGGCTTTAGGAGAAATAACAAAAATTACAAAGGACAATAAATTGTGAAGAGAAATGATCGCTGACGTCCTGAAATGACATTATTCATAGTAGAAGATGAAGAACATTGTTGATAAAAACATCAATTATTAAAATTTTTATACTCTTGTATTTCTGCTCAGTGAAAATTATTTTTTCTTAAAGATTTTTCAAAATATTTCACAAATTCTTGCAGCAAACCTGTAAAATATGTATGATAAATCTATTTCCTTTATCACCTTTGACTATATATATATATATATATATATATATATATATATATATATATATATATATATATATATATAATATATAATATATTAAATATAAAGTCAACATTGAAGTCAACACGTAGGCGACAGGCTGTTTCATCCTAGACACAATCGTCAGGCCTGACGATTGCCTCATATCAGCGAAGAATATTAGCCCGAGAAGGCATAATGAGACATTCTCAAGGAGATTATCATCAGCCATGCTGATAAGAGACAGGAGAGGTCCCTCAGGTGATTAATACAGAGAAGGCCGCCTGACGATTGCGTCCAACATGAAACAGCATGTCGCCTCTGAGTGTTGACTTCAATGTTCACTTTTATATTTACACGCACACTATCTCTGATATTGAGCACTTTATCCTATAAATATAGCACACCTGAAGAGTATATTTCGTCATATATATATATATATATATATATATATATATATATATTATAATTATTTTTAAAAAAATATGATTCCATCGCGACAACGGAATTACTATGTTTCCAAACTAAATGTCAAGCTCTAAAGTATAATTTCAATATTAAATTTAAAATTTATATCACAGTTTCATTCTCAAGTGATGTTTAGAATAATTAAGTGAAAAAATTTTAAGTTCTCCTGTATCGAGCAGTGTTTTTTTTAAACAAAAAACATAAAAAGTAAATAATTTTAGATCATTAATCTAATTTTTCTTTTCTATTACATCAACACATACATACACACACGTACACAAAACACACACATATATATGTGTGTGTGTATCCTCTTATGACTATATATATATATATATATATATATATATATATATATATATATATATGATTCTTGTGAATATATATATATATATTTGTAAAAATGACAGAAGAAGGCGACGGCACCTCTGTGAGTGAGCGACTGCAGACGAGATGCCAGATAAGGGCCAATTAAATTGCATATCCGTCTCTGGATTTTATCAAGGATCTTGAGACAATTAGAAGGGGCTCTAGACCATATATGGCAGCAATACTCCATGCAAGGGCGAATGGTTGATTTGTAGATTTGAAGGATCGACTCCGGCGAGAAAAATTTCCTGGCACGGCACAGGGAGCCAACTTTCCTTGCGATGGAAGAAGCTATTGACTCAATGTATTTGTTCCATCTCAGGTCAGCAGACAATGTGACACCGAGCAGTCGATTCAAATGTCTGAAAATACCGTAATCAATTGTTAACTTGCCTGACTAAAAGAGACGATGAGGTAAAGCGCTGAAGCCAATAGCATTGATCTTTTACGATGGCATTTGAACATAAAGAAGGCAAAAAGGTGAGGGGGGAAACCCGCGCATAGCTCTTGCCTAACGAGCATACGAAAATAGTTGCTAGAAGAAGAACTAGTAGAGATAGCAAAAAGACAAACTTTACTAAAAGCTACGAAGAAGAGGAAATCGTAGAGATCCGTGATTATGCATTAAAAAAACATCATTCTCATAAGAGTATATGGGTCCGGTTCACATGCCTCCAGATCTTAGGAGTAGAGGGATATCTCGTCTTATTTTCAGTACAGTTCAGTTCTTGCTCGCCGTGTTTCCACTGTGTCCAAGTATACACTGTTCCATTGCCCAAGTCTAAGGATATCTCGTCTTATTTTCAGTGCAGTTCAGTTCTTGCTCGCCGTGTTTCCACTGTGTCCAAGTATACACCGTTTCACTGCTCATGTCTAGGGATATCCCTTCTTATTTTTAGTACAGTTCAGTTCTTGCTCGACGTGTTTCCACTGTGTCCAAGTATACACTGTTCCACTGCCCATGACTAGGGATATCTCGTCTTATTTTTTAGTACAGTTTAGTTCTTGCTCGCCGTGTTTCCACTGTCCAGGTATACCATGGAACAGTTTATACTTAGACACAGTGGAAACACGGCGAACAAAAACTAAACTTTGTTTCCTGTTCAGGTTTGGTTTTCCGGTTCCTTTTAAATTCTACTCCAACTCTAAACTTCTAACGTCTCCGCTTAAACTCTGAATTTTATATCATTGTTGGATTTCTGGTTATAGTCTTGATTGGGGAAAAGTAATTAATAAAAGACTTTTGATCTCTTTAACTTTGAGAATCATATTTCTATTCGGGGACTTAGGAAGTCAGAGAATCACTCTTCGTTCTTGGGTCGTCTAATCACCCTAATGTTTGATCAATATTATTAGTTATCTGAAACGCATTGTAGCCAAATATTATGAACTAAAATCTTTTTCCTCACAATATTTAATATTATTGAAGTTATCGCTAACGATTTTGACGAGCTTTACAAACTCTACGTTTAGTTTAATTTCAAAAACCAATCAATGAAATTTGAATAAGCAGATTTGTTTGTCAAAAATACCATGAAAAAAAAAAACTCTACTTCGCTGTTTTTACATTCTTAGCTACATTAGATATCCAGATGACCGTGCTGATATAGATAGATTGCCACGTAGAATACATTCGGAAGTGCGTATGATTTGATGGATAGCGAATTGGAATGTGAAACCAGCGAGCTGAGTTCGAATTCCAACCGAATCCGTCACATCTACTTAAACGCCAAATAACTTTGGGAAAGGTATTAATCTTTCTACACCCCAAGTTATGGGTTAAATAGCAAGACAGACTGAGTTCTGTAGTTTAGGTTGGTAAACTTTCTAGAGGTGTTGACTCGATAAAATCACCCATCCCCTGAATTTGCATCGGCCTAGAAAAACGCACAGGAACTGAAAGTCTACAGTCGTGTGAGTTGCGTGTTCTGTCGCAGAACAGCGTTTTACTTGGATACGTTCGTCATTAAAATTGGTCCCCCCCAAAAAAAATACTAGAAATGATTTGTGACTAAATCTAAGATATTTAGGATTATAACACAAATAAATTATTATATGGGAAAGATAATCCTACATTCAAATGGATTAGTGCTTTAATATCTTGTCAGGGGCTGCGAAGTCCTCATTGTCCAATTTTTATAAACTTCATTTTCCTGTCTTGCGGAAGATGATTTATTTTCTACTCAGACACCGCTTTCCAAAACCCAACTTTGCAAATTTCTATTGCAAATGTTCCAATGAGTTTTTTTTTATATACTAATGTTCACCAATGCAAGGCCCCAAAGCCCCTCAATGTAGAGGGTTGGTGTTTAATAAAAGAAGAAAAGAATTCATTGATTGATTGATTCCTTTTCTATGCCTTATCACTCATTTGCAAAACTTTATTTAAAGCTAGAAATATTTCTAGATTGTAAATACACACGTTTTACTAATTAACCATCGCTTGGGGAAGAATAGGTTGATTCATAACTTTTCCAAGTGTATTTGAATATAATGAACTGAACTGGAATTAGTACTCGGCTCTCCGATTAACAATTCCAAGCCATTATCCATTACACCATCTGCAAATCAAAGCTTACAGTAACTGGCATTGCCAAGCAGTCATCCAGTGGCGTTACTTTCCTTCAGGGATCGGAGAGGAACTGGTGATTTAACGCTGTATGTCCGTAAGCCAGAAGACAAGCGGAGAGAATTGTGTCATGGTGTTCTTTTTCTCACAGACGGTGCCCAACTGATCCTACTATACTGCGTAGTCGACAAAATCAAAAACAAACTACGCGCATGCGCGAAAGTAAAAATATAAAATGTCGAGAATTTGCACATCGCACGCTACACACATTCACACACACACACATATATATATGCCTGTCAATGAGATGACAACTTTTTCATTTATACTTGTTTGGGAATTCAGAGGTTTCAATCTCCTATACCTGTTGCCAACGAAGGCTGAGACGAGATTGTTTCATAGGTTTCTCAAAGGTATTTGCACGAAATTGTCTATTTAAAGATTGCATCTGTCTATATTTCTGAGATGTGTTATTTACATTATTCGGACTATTGTCCTCATCATAGTCGTCATATTTATCACAACGTTTCGGCCCTTCAGTATCTGTCTATATTTCTGAGATGTGGTATTATGTTCACTATTTACATTATTCGGACTATTGTCCTCATTTTTGTCGTCATGATTATTACAACGGTCCGATCGCTGTACGCTCTGGCCTTCTTCAGCTGGTTGGAATGTCTCACGGAACCGTTTATTTCGCTCACTGGGGTAGACTGTTTTAGTTCCACGTGCCATATTTTTAATTTATGCCTGTTATCATTTATCTCCTGTTAATTCCTCTCTGAACGTTCTCCACTGCCTAAACCGTGTATTGAACTCACATTCTTTTGTGTCCTGTCACTGGATCTAACCAACGCCTTTATCCACTGTGCCATGTGTCCTTGAGGATTGCAATTCGAATTCAACTCGAGGGTTTTTGGTCTCTGAATCACTAGCCATTACACTAACCGCAAAAGAGAACTGGTTTACGCCCACCCCACGTTGAAACACCTGTTCCCGTACGAACACCGATGTTAAGCAACGTCGACCCTGTTCAGTACCTAGTTGGGTGACTCCTTGCGAACACATGGTGATTTAAGTTTGTATGTGCGGGCGGTGTAATGGATAATAGCTCAGAATTTTTATTCGGATAGACGAGTTGGTTTCGTTATATTAAATTGCGCGTAAATACGTTTAGGAAAGATCTGAACACACCTCTTATCCCCCCCCCCGCGTATATTAGTAAGACTTATATCACTAAACCTTCTTTATATATAAAAAAATCTTACAATCTAAAAATACATTCTGATTTTAATAACCGGTTAAGGGTTGATAAGCCGTAAAAATGGATCAATCAATCAATAAAAAGCAAAAGACAACAGGCGATTTTTTTTCGGAACATCATATTATGGAAATAATTTAGTGATGCACTATTGAAAATATATTACAAAATACCATGAAGTATATTTTGGATCTGAAAAATATTCGGTTGCCAGACATAAAAACTTTAAAAGAAATTAATAACAAGCATCTGAAATGTTAAATAAGTATTATTTTTTACTTGAAATGGGTACCATGTTGATGAATGACCCTTCTCCAACGTACCTCTAAATACTTGATCCGTCCTTAAAAAAAATATCATCCTTTGATGTGATTATCAGTTCAAATGCTTTTGGAGAATGTTTTATTGCATATGAAAAGCTCAAAATACTTAAATAAGGGATAACCAGTAGGGGGAGATATCAGGTGAATATGAAGGATGAGGCAACATTTCATAATTCAAGCTATGCAGCTTTTGGGCAGTTGTTTGAGAAGCATGCGACCGTGTGTTGCCGTGCAGCAAAATTGACCCGCACTTTATTTACAATTATCGGTTGTTTCCTTTTCAATATTTCGTGCATATTCTCAATTTCTCCACAAATAAAGATGACTGTTATTATTTTCCCTTAAAGCAAGAATGAATAATGAACAACCCCTTTGAAAGACCACCATAGAGTAACCATTAAGTGGATGTTTTGGACATTATTTTGGTGATTCACTTGCATCTAACGATTCGCCTACTATCTTACTGCTGTCAAAAAGTATCCATTTCTCATCGCATGTAATGATTCGATGCAAAAATGGTTCTTTAGCTAGTTTGTACTCATAGAGTAAAATTACTTGACATTGTAATTATTTTTATTGGGATTAGGAGTAACAATATATTTAAAGAAAAATTAACTAAAAAGAAAAAAATCCGGAATAAGTCAAGAGTTTTTTTTATATACTAAAAAGTTTACTATGTCAGACAATCGGATCAACAACCAACCAAAAAATGTGTCATTTCATGTGTGACAACCTAATATAGTTCGCAATCTCTCTTAGTTTATTATAGTTTCGGAGCACCATTTTATCCGAAAATATATCGCAAAACATGCGTCATTTCATGTGACAACCTAATATAGTTCGCAATCTCTCTTAGTTTATTATAGTTTCGGAGCACCATTTTATCCGAAAATATATCGCAAAACATGCGTCATTTCATGTGACAACCTAATATAGTTCGCAATCTCTCTTAGTTTATTATAGTTTCGGAGCACCATTTTATCCGAAAATCTATCGCAAAACATGCGTCATTTCATGTGACAACCTAATATAGTTCGCAATCTCTCTTAGTTTATTATAGTTTCGTAGCACCATTTTATCCGAAAATATATCGCAAAACATGCGTCATTTCATTTTAATATAGTTCCGGAGCAAATCCGAAAATATATTGCAAAACATGCGTCATTTCATGTGACAACCTAATATAGTTCGCAATCTCTCTTAGTTTATTATAGTTTCGTAGCACCATTTTATCTGAAAATATATCGCAAAACATGCGTCATTTCATGTGACAACCTAATATAGTTCGCAATCTCTCTTAGTTTATTATAGTTTCGGAGCACCATTTTATCCGAAATATATATAATATATGAAATCCGGTCACGTTCCATTGTGAAAAATACACGTTCTCTCACGAGACTAATTTATCTCTGTCGAAACATATGCATAATTTAGTCGTATACTTTATTTATTTGCGCAGATGTAATGCGTTACCACAGGGGATTGAATCTGATTCAAGATTTCTTCCTCTTCTATGGTGTGTGCTCATTTAAGTTAACCCATAACTCTCCACAATAAACTACAGCTTTTAAGCCTTAGTAAGCTTTGTCGTTTTGCCATATCTTCGAATCTCTGTTCTGCCAACCATTTACACAATCTCGTTATGTAGGTTATATACTACTTTTCTGTGTTTCTTTTCAATTCAATATATACTGTGAGTGCCACATTTTCTAAGCCCTCTCTCCTCATTATGTACTCGAGAAATTTAAACTCTCTCATTCTGATGCTAATTATAGTATCCTTTTTGTTTCCATTTTCTCTAAAACTTCGTTGTTTCTCATATGTTCAGTCTATGGTATCCTCAATATCCTTCTGTAGAACCACAATTCTGTTACCTTAAGTCTCTTCTTCCTGTGTGATGATACTGTCCAACATTCACGGATACCTACTGGTCCTCAATAACATTACTACGGCAGTAGTGAACAAAAATTGGAGAGTTTAGTTAAAGGGAGATAACTAAAACACCAGGAAGAGGCATGGCACGTGGAACTAGAACAATCTTCACCGATGAACGAAAAAAAAAAAAGTTCAGTTCGAAATTCCAATCACATGAAGAAGGCCGGAGCGTACAACGGCAGAAACGCCGTGAATATGGCAATAAAGGTGAGGAGAACAGTCTGAAAATGTAAATAATGTAAATGATTGCAATACCTCATCTCAGAAATATAGACAAATTCTGAAGAAATCCGAAGCGTACAACGACCGAAACGTCGTGCGTGAATATGGCCATAAAGATGAGGACAACAGTATGAACAATGTAAATAATGTAAATAATTACAATATCTCATCTCAGAAATATAGATAGACATTCTCGCCTATATATTACATAACGATATTATATAATAATCCATAATATTTTCTTTGTTTCTAACGAAATTTTCGTGTTTCTTAATACTTTGCATATCTTTTGGAAAGCATCTTTCTCTTTCTAAATGAGCATTCGGATTCCGCCGTCGTATTTTTGATCTTCTGTTAAAACAATTCGTAGATATTTAATTTTTTTGTATTTGCTTTGTTTTGGTGTCTCCAATTTGTAATTTGCATGTTGCATTCTTCCATTTGCAGCCAAGCCTGCATTCTGTTTTCTTACAATTGATGTTTAGTCCTTTCTTCTCTTTTTACTTGACTATCTTCTGTAGGAGTTTCTGTGTTTGCTATCAACACGGTCATCTGTATATCTAATGTTGCTAAGACTGTAGCTGTCAATAATGAATCCTTGCGGAACTTTTAATCCTCACGGGAGTACTTCACTGTATAATTTGACTAATCTGGTGAGACGGCACATCCTTGTCGCACACTACTTTTTAAATAGTGAATATATAATAACCTTATTGCATATACTTTGAAATATTAGGTCAGATTAGGTTGTTCAGCTTTGCTTCGCAACTAGTGTTGGAGAAGGAAACTTCTGATTTCTCTAACTCTAGAAGATAGAAGTCATTAGCATGAAAACAGATGGTCGTCTAAGAGACGGGTCCCCCATCAAGACAATTTCGATGTTGGGCGCGAATCCAAACGCCCAACTCGCGGGAATATTTCGATTACAGATACTTCATTATAGTCCTTATGTGTTACGATGTAACAAGGAGAATGGACATTTTTATGTTCATGTATCCCCTTAAAAGATACTTATTCATATAATTGTGTTCCACCCATGAGATACGAGTTCGAATCTCACCAGCGTCGATTAGTCATAGAGATCACGTTGCGGTTGTATATTTTATATGCCTTTCTTCTTGTGTTGTGGATGAAATAATATTGGTATTGTTGGTTTTTGAATATGTTTTTTATGCATGTTTCTTCTTTAGGTAAATATTGGGGGCTGCAGATTCTTAATGCTGTCAAATAGAAACCTATAATAATTCCAGATATAATTTTCCAAGAGTGGTTTGAGTAGAAACTGACCAGATCATTTTTGTTGGTAGCTTTTCTATACACTTCAAAATTGAATTCGTTATTGCTTCTGTGTAACATGATATCTAGGAAATGAAGAGTGTAGTTGGTTTCAGTTTCAAAGGTGAAGTCTTTTGTAGGTTCAAAGTTGTTAATTTGGGTGACAAGATCTGTTAAATTAGTATTTTCTGGATATATTAGTAGTGAGACCTCTATGTATCTGAACTTTTGGAAGTAGAATGTTTTGGATGGGACACTTTCTAGAAATTCTAGCAGTAGTAAAGTAAGAACACGGCTGAGAGGAGATCCCATTGGTAAACCAAATTTTTGTCTGTAAAGTTGGTTATCAAAAGTAAAGAAACATTGCTTGTTGATTAGATGACATATTTTTTATGATTTTATATGTACGTAGAAGTAATTTAATTTTTGCTTTTGATAGGTGGTTATTTAGTAGATTTAAGTATTTCTCAATAGGGACGTTTGTGTATAGAGATTTTATGTCTAAACTAGCCATATATTTTTTTTGAATGTCTATGTTTTTTATTTGTTTAGAAGCTCACCTGAATTTTTTATGTGTGATGGACTAATAGTGGCATATATTTAGTTAGTTCGCTGAAAAAGAATGTTTAAAAAACTTCTTTTGAATTAAAATTTTGCAGATATGCTACCAGATATGCTACAAGATGAATTTTGCAGATATGCTACCAGATATGCAACAAGATGGGTTATCTATTGTATACAGCTGCTAAGAATTGACTCAATTTAACCGTGTTTAATCTAATTAATTTACTGTTTTTTGTTAAGCGCTAACAATCTTTTTTATTATTTATTATTATTATTATTATTATTATATATATATATATATATATATATATATATATATATATATATATATATATTGTTATGGGATCTTACCCATAATAATAATAATGGACTATTCCATACTTAATAAATACTGCGCCTCAGGATTAGGCAAGGGTCAGTAGTTCAAGTCGAGTCAAGAATCGAGTCAGAGGCAGTCCGAAACAGAGTCGCGTTCAGACAATTACTGCAAGAC